CTTGTTTAATTTACACAATTTATACAACAATCTTAAAACAAACTAATATATTTTCCATGAACTTATACAAATAGAATTCATGATTAGGATGTGTAGTTTATTTGTTGCTTGCTATTGTTACAGTTCCGGACCTCCTATAAATATTCCAACATGCTGTTATGTTAATATTTAATAATATGATTAGTACCATGAATATACACAAATTCTATTTATATAAAACTTACGATTAGGAATTTCTTTAATTTTATATATATATATTTGCTTGTAAGCTACTGTTTCATACATGGTGGTTAGATTTAAACTTCTATAATTTGCATGTTAATAACCGCATGTGGTGAACCAATGATAGTACTAAAATTAAAAATAAATAAATAAATATATTTGTAGTTCAATTGCATGTTTATTACCGGAAAGCAATTCAAATGGAGTGACATACACTGTATGCTGATTATTTGGTTTCATTTTTTTTTATATGATGTGCATGTTTTTTATTGTATATTTTTATAATATGATTTGCATACTCATTAGTGTTTAGATTTTTCTTAGATAAAATAGACGAATTCACATGTTTTAAATTTCTAGATTTGTAATGTAATTTGCATGTAATTTCTAGAATTATTCAAATGAGTTATTTATAATATAATTGTCCTAGAATCAGTTAAATGTGATTTTCTAGGTTTATTTACATATACATTATAAAGTAGTTTGATGTAAGTCATACCTATTAATTTAATTTATGTATTTGGAGTTATAAGGTTAAATGCTTATTGTGATTAATTTCATTCATAACTCATGACCATTAAATTTTAATTTTGTAACTTGTCTATATTTATTTACTTGTTTATTATGTAAATTAAATTATAAATTTAATTTTGGAGTTTTAGTTGTGTAATAATTTCATACATAACTGATGGGTATTAAAGTTTTAATCTAATTTAATTGTGGAGTTATAAGTTTTTTTTTTTTTTTTTTTTAACTCATCTAGCATTTTAATTCGTTAGTTAATTTTATTATTAAATAGTTTGCTAGATGGTTTCAAGTTTCTTTAGATTGTTTGGCTTGTGTTTTTTTCCTAACTTTCTTTACAAGAATATCTATGCAAAAGGGATTGAGAAAACAAGTACAAAACCAAATGAATAGTCCTTGGGATGTATAAACAAAAAGTATGAACAAGAAAGGATTTTGGACTATATAAAATCCTTATAGATTGGTTACTCTCTTTATAATTGAGGCAATTTGTTTGCTAGAGATTTAGCAGTGATTAATTGTAAATTTTATTTTAAAGCAAGATTGTTTGCTTGGCATGTTGGAAGCATTTTATATGCATGTAATTGTTATAGCAATTTTTTACATTGCTTGTAAGTTTGGAACTTGGCTTGGTTTTCGGTAAGAGAAACCAAAGTGTTTAGCCTTGGCTAAAGAGTAGTTCTTATTTGTTCGGAAATAACAACTAAGATAGATTTGGTTTCAAATCTTTGGAGTTTGAGGAAGTCTTTAGGTTTAATCATTTTTATAGTGATTTTGGTGTTAACCCGACTCTTGTTGTATTCTGGACTCAGATTTCATGGTTTTGAATTGTTATTCATACCTTGCTTCCCTTTTCTTCCTTAAATTTGGCTGTTGGATTGTAGTAATTGTGTTTGAAACAGGTTGGTTGCTTAGTTTTCAAACTTTTGTTTCTTAGAATTTTGCTCCTTCACTCGAGCGGCACTTCCTGCGCTCGGGCGGGCTTTGTGAACTCTTAGTACTTTTGCAGGTCTGCAAAACTACTGGGAGAGTATATTCTCTTGCACTCGAGCGTTGGTCTATTGTCTGCAAAACTACTGGGAGTGTGCATTCTATGCTCAAGCGTCCCTTCTTTCACTCGAGCGGAACAACTTGTTGTGTCTGACGCTCGAGCGTCACTTCTTGCGCTCGAGTGAACTGTGCGTATATAAGTTCGTGAAAGTGACTTTTTACATCAGTTTTTCATATCTTTTCTCTCAAAACCCTGTAGTTGAGACCCTCTCCCTCTAAAACCTAACTTATCTCTCCATTTTCATCTAGATCTAGTGGTTTCTCCACCTGTGTGCCTTTGTTAAAAAAATAGAGCACCTCAAGAGCTACATTCAGATCCAAATAAAACTTGATTTTGGCGTCTTTGAAGTTCCTCCACTTCTTCCTTAGGTCTTCTAACTTGAGGTAGAGACTTTCTACACTCTCGTATGATTTTTAACTTAGCTATTTGTTATTGTGTAAATGACGTTGGGATTTGGAGGAATTTAGACAAACCTAGGGTTTTGGTTTAAAATCAAAAGAGGGATTTTCAAATAAAGGTATTGAAAATGATTATGGGTGTGGATATGAGGGTGTGTTGTGTTAAATTTGTTGATTTTGACACATGGTGTTTTGCCCTAAAATGTTTCAAATAATTATTTTGTATAAATAGTGGAATTGGAATTGGGACTGTGAAATTAGATAGACGTTTATATACATGGTGGAGTTGGATACATGTTATCTCTCACCTATGGAAATGTGGGAAAATTTATCGGTCTTAATGATTGTATATCTGTTTAGAAATATCTGTATTGGGCTATCGGTGGAGGATAGCTATGATTGTTGTAGATTAAGGATTAGGTAAATTAAAACTAATCTCTTATATGTTGTCATTGAATATGACTATGGTTTAATACATTGTATATGTATGATGTTTGGGAGGAGAAAGAGATGGACTCTACTAAATTAAGTTGGCTTGTGTGTCCAGAGTGAAAGCCCTGAAAACCGCGCATATACATGTGTGCCGATTCCCGCGCATATACATGTGTGCCGATTCCCTGAAAATGGCAAATTGAAGTATTTATGTAATGGTTGTGTTGGTTAGAGAATCACTGAGCCTTCGTTTGGTAAACATATTGGGACTAAATAAGCACATAAGGACCAAAAAAAAGCCACAAAATCACAAAATGACGAAACACTTGACTTTTAATGCAAAATTACCAAATTGACCCATATACAAACAAAAAGTAAAAAAAGCATCATTTTCAGGTGGAGAGCAATTTTGTCATTCCAATGCAAAAAAGCCAAAAAAGCCAAACAAGAAAACCAAATGAACAAAAAAGTCCTAGGCTAAAGAAGTCAAAAAGCCAAGTTTGCCAAACGACACCTGAGTTGTAATCTTATTGCTTACGCCTCCTGACAGTTGAGACCACACGAGAAAAACTACACAACACACGATTTAGAGTTGGCCGCAGTTGTGTTTGCTTTGAAAATCTGGCAGCATTATTTGTATGGGGCAAAGTATGAAGTCTACACTGATCACAAAAGTCTAAAATACTTCTTTACGTAGAAGGAATTGAATATGCGATAGAGGAGATGGCTCAAACTGATAAAAGACTATGATCTCGAGATCCAGTATCACCACGGGAAAGCTAATACAGTTGCTGATGCCTTGAGTAGAAAATCAACGGGGAGTACGACTTGTTTGCTTACTGAACAGAAAGAAATCCTGCAAGATTTTGAGAAGTCTGAAATTGAAGTGGTATTATGTGAACAGGGCGGATTGATAGCCGCTATTTCAACCAAACCGGCAATCATTGAGGAAATTAAACAGAAACAAAAAGCGGATGAATTCCTCAAGAGGGTGATTGATGAATTTGAGACAAGTCCAAAAGCAGAGTTCGGCATTGAAAATGAAGTGTTGAGGTTTCGAAACCGAATGTGCGTCCGAGATATTCCGGGATTAAAGAAAAGGGTTTCAGATGAAGCCCATAAATCAGTATTTGCTATGCATCCGGGCAACAATAAAATGTATCGGGATTTGAAACAAAGTTATTGGTGCACTACTACAAAAACAAATAAAGATCACACTTTTTTTGTGTGATGTATGTTATTTAATCACACCTTTTAAGTTTTATTAAAGTGTGATCTTTGGGAGTGTGATTAAAAATCGTCATTTTTAATCACACTTTTTAAGTGTGCTCAATAACATTTAGATCACACCTTTTAAGTGTGATTAATAACTAATAAAATCTGTAATAAAAAAAAGGTTCGACATATTTGAAAAATAATCAATATTATTTTTGTATGGACATTTGAAGAATGTAATACACACTATATACTATATTTTGAATCATAACCACATATTGAATAGAATAACGTCATATATTTCATAATTGAAAATTAAATATTCAAAAGTATATACAAAGGAATTAAACAAAAAAAAAAAAAAATTAACTGTGCTTGCATATATTAAAAAATGAAAAAACTTAAAAAACTAAGTTCTTTAATTCTTGAACCATATTTTGCATCTCTCCAAAAAATTTCTAACCTGAAAATAAAAACACAAATTAATCCAGAAACTGCTGATGCATATGAATAAACTAAAAAGTTAATTCAGCAAACCAAAATAGAATCATTAATCATTTCTGCAATCCTTTTGAAAGTAACTTCCCTGTTAACAATTAGATGCCATAACAGCTCAGTGTCAATGACATTGTAATTAGGAGGTCACTAATGAGAACATTATTTAAAAATGATAAATCTCAATACAGCTTGTGTACGATCTTTTTGTGAATGTATATTATTATTACTATTAAACCATAATTCTAAGTACCCATAAATAAATAAATAAAAACTCAAGAATTTACTCCATTTTTTTTTTGGGGGAGGGGGGGAGAGAGTACATACATTACAGCTACTATCACCAGCAGCAGTAGGTTTTGGAGAAGCAGAGGCTGCATTTATGAAAAAAATTCATCGGAGCTTCTAAATACACTCGCTTATTTTCTCTCTACACTCACTATATTCATTGTATATCTTGTATGTTACGAAGAAAAATTTGTGGATATAGGTGTAGAGATGTACATGGCGGGTGTGGTGGGTTTAGAAACTCCCAATTGCATCATTAAAAAGAGGATTATGTGTATATATATGTTGTTTTACAGCATTATCCAAATGAAATTGTTTCTTTTGAAGTATCAACATTTTTTCCATTTTGTTTTCCATAGCATTTTAAACAAGTACTCTGTTTTATGTAAAAACATCATTTACAGTATTGTATGAGAATATCACCAATTATATTTATTTTCGAAAATAGATCCATTCTGTTTTGCAATCATCCAAGTCTGATTGGAGCTTTCTTTGCAATGACACTATACTAATGATGCATTTGGTTCTCTAGATGCCATGGAAATAGAAAAATCCATGGTATTTAATAATGCAATAAGAAGCTGAAATATAAAGCTGACCTGTGTGACCCACTGTTCTCTCTGAGTCATATATCTCAAAGTCATTTCCTCCCAGCTCAAACAAACACCCAAGTCCTTCATTTAGTCCTAAAAGAGTACTAAAAAAAAAGTTAATGAAAAAAGGGCAAAATTTACTTTACCCCTTGTGGTTTGACCCATGAGCAGCCCATCATTTAAAAATAGTCAAAGAGAACTCTTGTGATTTTGGACTAAAATGCAACACTAATTCCGTTAACAGTAAGTGAAGAATGACCTTAATACGCCTCTACCTTATTTCTGTTTCCCTCGCTTCTATTATAGATATAACCTTTTATGTTAATTGTATATTAACTAATTAAATCACACATTAACCTAAACACCCTGATTTTAAAAGCCAATATTTTTATCTTAGTCACATACTAACCGATTAAATCGCATATTAACCCAAACATCTTAATTTTATAAGCTAAATTATAAGTTTAAACTTAATTTTACATTCTAACAATTATCAACCCTGCATATGCCATTAAGCAATTATCATGCATCACTTTATCAGTATTTGTTACAAGGCAGTCACTTTGATTTGTGCAGAAAAGGAATAATCAAAGAGCCCGTTACAAATTTTCTGATTCATTTTAACAAAAAAGAGGTCTTTACAAGCTAAATCCCACAAATCCCCATAGAAGATGCACCTAAAACATCGGACCACCTGATCAAATTTCTTCGGCAAGGGTTGTGTTACATCAAGCTCAAGTTCTTGCCCCAACAATTAGACGTCACTCAGCAAGTTGAGTTCTTGACGCATCAAAATCTACCCTTTAAACTCCATGGGTGTTGAAAGAATCAGTGAATCAGAGATGAGAACCTGAGGGATCTGTGTGATCATGCTGATCTTTTTTTCTTTATTTTTTAATGTACTTGGCTTTGATATTTGATGGGTTGATTGGTGTGTGCACTTGTTTTGGGTTGACTGGAATATGTGTGCAATTGTTCTGGTTTTGATTTTTAAGGGCATGATTTGTGTGGATCTGGTGTAGTGGGGGTGAGGTGGCGGTGGTGACTTTGGGAGTGACGGCGGTGGGGTGAGGCGGTGGCAAGAGTGGGAGGAGTGGTGGTGCTGTGGGTTAAAGAGGTGAGGTACAAAAGACAACCCGCAGGGGTTCTCTGGTTTTTTGTGTGAGAAGGAAGATGATGAAAGGAAGGACAAATTTGTCCTCTTAACTTAAAGTTTGAATTTTTTTTTTATTTATTTTTATTTCAAACTCTCCAAGTGAGTGAGTATAACACACTTTCTGTTATTGTGGATGGAATTTTTCAGAGTAGGGAGGTAAAGTGCAAAATTTCCAAAACCACATGAGGATCTTTTGGCTATTTTTATATGACGGGGTGAATGCACGGCAAGCGCATGATATAAAAATAAAGAAATTGATATAGGCACTCACTTGGAGATATAAATTGATATAAATTTCTTTGAACATAGGAAATCAAGAAATTGATTGAGTGCAATTCAAAATAAAGTAAAGTAAAATAAAACCAAAATCAACTTACCGTATCCCTTGATTGACGTCACGATGGTTACAATGACCAGAAACACCATAGTTATCAAAAGTAATAATCTGAGAGCACCATATAGAAAGTAATGTATGGAACAGAATATGATCAAACATACACCAATTAGTAGGAAAATGAAAAGCCAAAAGTTTAGACAGTCCTTCATCAGATAGCTAAGCAAGTGTAGAATATATACCAAGGAAAAAAACTAAATAAAGAAACCACGGCAAAGTAACTTGGATGAGCACTGCAACCATATCTTACCAAATCGATGGCATGACTAAGAATTTCCTCTTCAATTATTCTTGCCAATAAATCACACCTCCATACTTTGCCAAAACCATCCTAATAATGACAAACAGATTGATTTGAACTTCTGCATTAATATTGTATTTCAAACAGTACCAAAAGATGGAACAGGATTTACAAAGGTTAAGAAAGGAACCTGCAAATCTGGACGGTCTAGGATCTTCACTTGTTGGAGTGGAACCTAAATAAACTATTCAAAATGTCAGAATATAAAAACCAACACAAGCTAATCTTTAGAACTGTATTACAAATCCTTATTTTGGCTTATCAATCTTGGATAAAGGAACAATTTAAAAATAACATAAAAATAGTGCACAACAAAAATGACACTTGCATAACGAAAGCTTTCATTCTCAGAGGTTAGCATTACACCAGTAGATAAAGAAAATATTTGCCCGATCAATCATAACCTTGAGGACTGCAGAAACCTGATAGAGCTCTTCTTTCCTGATGTTTCCCATGCCATCTGCATTACCTACATAACAGCCAAAACTATAAAAAAAATTAAGAAAAGCCAAGAAATAATACATTGAAGCAGTACAAAATAAGAAACAAATGATGTATTTGAACATAACATTTGTAGGAAAGATACAATGCAAAGTCGATTTAAAATCTTTACATTTTCTATTTAAGAAGTATGACACAAGTAGCACCTATAAAGTACTTACACAGCCTCATCCACAAAGACAAAATTTAGCAAACATGCTGCATATTTATAAGATCCAACACAGATGCACCAATTCATGAAAAAAAGAACTTCCCCTATCCATTAGGCGAGCTCATAGCTTTGGTAACACACACAAACAAAAACACACAAAAAAAAAAAAACAAACAAACAAACTTGCTTCAACGTGATAGGGGCTGTTCATAAAACTAACATTTTATACTGCAAACTTTTGCATGATAAATTACAATGTTGAAAATTCAAGTATGAAAATTTAAAATTGAAAATGTAACAAATTAATGTTTTAAGATTAAAGTTAAAACTAGCTTGCAATTCAGCATTTAGTAATAGGTCATGTGCCTCTAACTAAAACATCTGACTCTCTTTAAGTGGATATTATGAGTAATCTGAAGCACCTAATAAAAATTCACCAAAACATTTTCAGACTTAACCACCTACTGTGGCTGACATACGAGCCCCTTAGATTCCTTCCGACCTACATTACTATTGTTCAATTTCTGTAGACAGATGATAAGTTGATTCAAGTAAAGCCAAGGTTATTCATAAACAAGAAGGCATATCTAAATCCTAAAGGTTTGCAACTATAATTGACTATAAAACAAAATCAACGTATTACCAGTTGAGATGCACACAATGTGTAGATTATGGCCCCCGGAAGTAAGGTAATTAATTGTTGGAGTAAAAAACCTGCAGAATGCAATATATGGTTTTGATATAATACAAAATCAGAGCCCTACAAAAAATTAATAAACTACAATTTGAACAATAAAGGAAGTCCACCTAAGTCTTGAATTTCAAAATTTTTTGAATAAATTATAATTATGGAATCATTAAATCAACACAACATAATGGGACATTTCCTGGTCCAACAACGAAAGGTCTAGCTGTCAAGCATAAGATTACAAGTTCAAGTTTGAGACAGCCACACTGGGCAAATAATGCCCGGAATTGGGTCTGTATCCGTCCCAGCACCCACAATGGTAGGACCAGTTTATAACCCCTATTAACATCAATTACACTATTAATTAATGTAAGTTTAACACTATTTATGGACAAGAAATTCACATAATAATCTTAGTAGTGCTGAAAACGGTCAAGAATGATATTTTACAACCATGATCTTTACAACAAAAAGAAAAAAGAAACTGTAAAAAGAATTGCAATATAATTTAATTTCAATGCATATAAAAAGTTGCAAAGTTCAATGAAAACTGCATGCAACTGTGCAACCAAAAAAAAAAAAATCAGATTTTAAAGTTTACATAGACTCATCATCAGGATGGGCAATAACCAGCAATGCATTTTTCCGGCGAAGCCCTGCACCTGAATTTGATGGAAAACTGGTATTAAGCCAACCAAGAAATGCCTAAAGAAATACAATGTGTAAAAATCCTTTATAAGGATCACTTAACCACCATTATTTAAGAATGTAGCCTTGGAAAACCCCTATCCTCCACTTCGACGATCCAACTACCCCTTCCCAGCCCCTCTGCTATCGCAGAACCATGAGAGAGAGAGAGAGAGAGAGAGAGGGGGGGAGGGGGGAATCCGAACATACCTAGATCAAAGCAAAGAGAAGAGAATAAGAAAATCCTTCCTTTTCGAATCGTTGATTGCTGCCGGCGCCGAACCAGTCTTGCTGTCGAAGAGATAGCACCGTTCTAGGTCAAAGTCTCACCGCTGCCCAATTAGTCTCCCTTTCAAACCCTTTATCTTCTCCCTCTCTTATTTGCTGAATAGCAGCAGAACCCCTTTTTTTTCTTTTTTTTTCTTTTTTTGGGTGATTGGCGCTACAACATTTTATTTTGGGGTATTTTTTTTAAGGTCCTTGATATTATGATTTTATAGTATAAAGGACATCAAATATTTTCATGATGTCTAAGGTCCCTCAACATTAATCCAGAGAAAATTAGTCCAGAGAAAATTCAAGTCAGAGAAAATTGGTCCAGAGAAATTCCCTCAACATCAATCCAGAGAAAATTGGTCCAGAGAAAATTCAAGTAAGAGAAAATTGGTCTAGAGAAATTTTGAATTTCTCTGGCCTCCTTAGCCTTTCATGGACACTGCCAGAGAAATTTCCTTAGCCTTTCATGGACTTCAGAGAAATTTCAAATTTCTCTGCCGTGGGTTTGATCCTCCACCAAATGTTGTTGAAAGCTTTCACTGTGTCACAGATAGAAGGTTCTAAAAACGCTCCCAAAGAAAATTACTTCTAACCCAGAGAAATTATGAACTTCCCAAAGAACTTCTTTGGGTTCAACCCAGAGAAAATTGAAATTTCTCTGCAGAGAAAATTGAAATTTCTCTGCAGAGGAAGAGGTCTTGGAAATTCAATGAAATCAAATCTAATAAAGTTGGTATAGTTGAAAATTTCTCAGAATTCATTCATCAAATTCCACTTGACATTGAAATCTTTCTTCACAACCAGAAAAAGCAGCAAGCAACCTTCATCATCAACATCATCTTCTTTTTACATCATCTGTAGCAGCGCCATGAAAGCAAAATAAGCAAGAGCACTTTCATAGCATCAACACAAATGCACAACAAGATAAATGATTAACTGGAGATAGCATGAGGCAATAACAAAACTTCCAGAGAAATTTGAACAATCTAGAGACCTACCAGAGAAATTTGAACAAACCAAAGATCTACCAGGGAAATTTCAACAACCAGAGAAATTTGAAGGAAACTAAATTGCAAGGTATCTCAGAGGAGAATGAGGGGTTGCATATGAAGCTTGAGAAGAACTTACCAAGCCAGAGAGAATAGGAACCGGAAAAGGAACTGAAGAAATCAAAGACAACATTGAACATTTGAAGGCAAATTTAATGGATAAAGAGACGAAATTGCAAAATATATCAGAGAAAAATGAGATGTTAGAAAATTGAAATTTCTCTGCGGAGAAAATTGAAATTTCTCTGCAGAGGAAGAGATCTTGGAAATTCAATGAAATCAAATCTAATGAAGTTGGTATAGTTGAAAATTTCTCAGAATTCATTCATCAAATTCCACTTGACATTGAAATCTTTCTTCACAACCAGAAAAAGCAGCAAGCAACCTTCATCATCATCATCATCTTCTTTCTACATCATCTGTAGCAGCACCATGAAAGCAAAATAAGCAAGAGCACTTTCATAGCATCAACACAAATGCACACACAAGATAAATGATTAACTGGAGATAGCATGAGGCAATAACAAAACTTCCAGAGAAATTTGAACAACCTAGAGACCTACCAGAGAAATTTGAACAAACCAAAGATCTACCAGAGAAATTTCAACAACCAGAGAAATTTGAAGGAAACTAAATTGCAAGGTATCTCGGAGGAGAATGAGGGGTTGCATATGAAGCTTGAGAAGAGCTTACCAAGCCAGAGAGAATATGAACTAGAAAAGAAACTCAAGAAATCGAAAGACAACATTGAACATTTGAGGGCAAATTTGATGGATAAGGAGACGGAATTGCAAAATATATCAGAGAAAAATTAGATGTTTGAAAATTGAAATTTCTCTGCAGAGAAAATTGAAATTTCTCTGCAGAGGAAGAGGTCTTGGAAATTCAGTGAAATCAAATCTAATATAGTTGGTATAGTTGAAAATTTCTCAGAATTCATTCATCAAATTCCACTTGACATTGAAATCTTTCTTCACAACCATAAAAAACAGCAAGCAACCTTCATCATCATCATCATCTTCTTTCTACATCATCTGTAGCTGCACCATGAAAGCAAAATAAGCAAGAGCACTTTCATAGCATCAACACAAATGCACAACAAGATAAATGATTAACTGGAGATAGCATGAGGCAATAACAAAACTTCCAGAGAAATTTGAACAACCTAAAGACCTACCAGAGAAATTTGAACAAACCAAAGATCTACCAGAGAAATTTCAACAACCAAAGAAATTTGAAGGAAACTAAATTGCAAGGTATCTCAGAGGAGAATGAGGGGTTGCATATGAAGCTTGAGAAGAACTTACCAAGCCAGAGAGAATAGGAACCGGAAAAGGAACTGAAGAAATCAAAGACAACATTGAACATTTGAAGGCAAATTTAATGGATAAAGAGACGAAATTGCAAAATATATCAGAGAAAAATGAGATGTTAGAAAATTGAAATTTCTCTGCAGAGGAAGAGGTCTTGGAAATTCAATGAAATCAAATCTAATAAAGTTGGTATAGTTGAAAATTTCTCAGAATTCATTCATCAAATTCCACTTGACATTGAAATCTTTCTTCACAACCATAAAAAGCAGCAAGCAACCTTCATCATCATCATCATCTTCTTTCTACATCATCTGTAGCAGCACCATGAAAGCAAAATAAGCAAGAGCACTTTCATAGCATCAACACAAATGCACAACAAGATAAATGATTAACTGGAGATAGCATGAGGCAATAACAAAACTTCCAGAGAAATTTGAACAACCTAGAGACCTACCAGAGAAATTTGAACAAACCAAAGATCTACCAGAGAAATTTCAACAACCAGAGAAATTTAAAGGAAACTGAATTGCAAGGTATCTCGGAGGGGAATGAGGGGCTGCATATGAAGCTTGAGAAGAGCTTACCAAGCCAGAGAGAATATGAACTGGAAAAGGAACTGAAGAAATCAAAAGACAACATTGAACATTTGAGGGCAAATTTGATGGATAAGGAGACGGAATTGCAAAATATATCAGAGAAAAATGAGATGTTGAAGTCAGAAATGAAGGGAAGAGGAATGGGGAAAGTTTGAAAAAACACATTCAGAGGCAAAGCCAGCAAGGACATAAAAAGCAAACTCACACTTTGTAGGGAGAGATTAGGGAGAGAGAAATAGAAGAGAGTTTCCAATAAGAAAGAGAGAGAGAGAGAGAGAGAGAGAGAGAGAGAGAGAGAGAGAGCGGAGTCCTCTTCGTCGGCCTGTCGATTGCCGCGATTCCGTTTCGGTGCTTTCGGAGTAACTCGTCGATTTGGTCTGTGTTCACAGCTCCGTCAAGACCACGGTTCGTGGCTCTAGACATGTTTGAGCAAGAACAAGGTCTGATAGCTGTGAGCAAGCTCACAAGGATGAAGGAAGAAGCTAGGGTTTAGGGTTGATGTAGGAGAGAGAGAGAGAGCAGAGAGTGAGAAGAGAGAGACTTCTTAAATTTCTCTGTGATATATGAGTTTGGGGTTGAAGGACCTTAGACATCAAAAAATAATTTTGTGGATCTCTTCCATTACAAAAAGTGAGAAAGGGACCCTAGACTAATTTTCCCTTTTATTTTAGCGCTTTTTTTTTTTTGGATTATATACTGTTTCAATTAAATTTATAAAAAAATATTTTTAACCATTGGAAAGATAAAAATTATATAAAAGTGATAATTATTTTTTATTTTTTAATCAAATTAATTTTTAATTTTTAATTTTTTTTAAAAATCAAACCATGCATAGCCTAAGAATTTTTAATAAGTCATTTCTTATGTTGGTAACTTATTTAATTATTTGTTAATTTTACGATATTTTTACCATCATTTTCAGTTTTCAATTTATATTTACAAAAATTTTAAAAATTGTTATAAAAACTTGTTTGATACTTTTTCTAATTTATAAATGGTTGTCTCAGTTTGTAAATTTGAAGAAAAAATGTAAATTCAAAAAATGAGTTTATGTTGGTTTTTAAACAGAAATTTCAAAATTTTACTAACAAATTTTTTTTTCAATTAATTTTTTTTCAATGAATTTTTTTTCCAACTGATACTAACCAAGGGGGCAATTGGTATTGCTACTTTAAACCTTAGGGAGGGGATTGTAATTTCTAAAATATGAGGGGTGTCAATGTAATTTACCCACTGAGGGCAAAATTAATATTTAAAAAAATTAAATTGCTAAAGGGGAAAATCTGTAAGGGGGGAAATGTAATTTTCAAAAGGTGATGGGGGAACTGTAATAAATATAAACCTCAGGGGGGTGTTAGTGTAATTTATCCCAAAAAAATAAATCGAAAAAAAATTATTTGAAAAAAAATTAATTGAAAAAAAAATTAATTGAAAAAAATTTTTGCTAGTAAAATTTTTAAATTTCTATTTAAAAACCAATGTAAACTTATTTTTTGAATTTACATTTTTTTGTCAAATTTACAAACTGAGACAACCATTTATAAACCAAAAAAATTATCAAACAAGTTTTTATAACAGTTTTTAAAATTTTTGTAAATATAAATTGAAAACTGAAAATGAAATAGTTGCAAACAGGCTTTAGATGGTAAAAATATTGTAAAATTAACAAATAATTAAATAAGTTACCAACGTAAGAAATGACTTATCAAAAGATTCTTAGGCCATATATGGTTTGATTTTTAGAAAAAAAATTTAAAATTTAAAAATTAATATGGTTAAGAAATAAAAACTAAAAAATAATTATCATTTTAACTTTTGGACTGGTTATATACATACGTATGGCTGTTTCAATTTAATTTGTAAAAAATTATTTCTAACCACTCGAAAGATCAAAATTATATAAAAATGATAATTATTTTTTATTTTTTATTTCTTAACCAAATTAATTTTTAATTTTTATTTTTCTAAAAATCAAACCATACATAGCCTAAGAATCTTTTGATAAGTCATTTCTTTTGTTGGTAACTTATTTAATTATTTGTTAATTTTACGATATTTTTACCATCTGAAGCATGTTTGGTAACCATTTCGTTTTCAGTTTTCAATTTATATTTACAAAAATTTTTAAAATTGTCATAAAATTTATTTGATAATTTTTTTGATTTATAAATGGTTGTCTCAGTTTGTAAATTCGAGAAAAAAACGTAAGTTCAAAAAATAAGTTTATGTTGGCTTTTAAATAGAAATTTAAAAATTTTACTAACAATTTTTTTTTCAAATAATTTTTTTTCCAATTAATTTTTTTTCATTGAATTTTTTTTTCAACTAATACTAACAAAGGAGGCAATTGGTAATGCTACTTTAAACCTTAGGGAGGGGATTGTAATTTCTAAAATGTAAGGGGTGTCAATGTAATTTAACCAGTAAGGGCAAAATTGGTATTTAAAAAAAATTAAATTGCTAAAGGGGGAATCTATAATGAAACTTTAAACCTCAGGGAGGGAGATGTAATTTCCAAAACGTGAAGGGGGAACTGCAATAAACATAAACCTTGGGGGGTGTCATTGTAATTTACCCTATATATATATATATATATATAATCGCACTTAATTAGAAAATGACATAAAAAATAAATATTATCACACTCAATCAGATTAAGTGTGATTAAAAATTTGGGAATTGTATATTTTATATAAAAATCAATTTGAAATATTTTATACAATCACACATATTTAGGAAGTGTGATTAAAAAGTAGTAATGTATATATAATCACATTTTAATTACAAAAAATATATAAATAATCACACTTTAATTAGAATGTGTGATTAAAAAATATATATATAATCACACTTGTTTAAAAAGTGTGATTAAAAAGTAGTAGTGTATATATAATCACACTTTAATTAGAAGGTGTGATTAAAAAATATATATATAATCACACTTAATTGAAAAGTGATATAAAAAATAAATATTATCATACTCAATCAAATTAAGTGTGATTAAAATATCAATCTAATTTTTTTTATCACACTTCCAATAAAAGTGAGATCTGTTTTTTTTGTCAAAGTGTGATCTTTAACTATTTTTGTAGTAGTGGTGGCCTAAAATGAAGAAAGAGATTGCAGAATATGTGTCCAAATGTCTTCAGTGTCAGCAGGTTAAAGCTGAACATCAGAAACTGGGCAGTCTACTTCAACCTCTCCCTATTCCTGAATGGAAGTGGGAGAATG